TTGAGGGGCCAGCAACTCCCACCTGCCGTCTCTAAGGACACTGCAGAAAGCCGTGTGGCCCTGGAATCCATTCTCCTCTTTCAGGAGCTAGATTATCAGCTGGCTTATGTAGGCCTTGCAGTTAGTGGGGCCATAAAGCCATGCTTTGCTCCAGGAGATGTAGGTAGAAAATCCACTCACAACTTTCAGGAAACTTCCTGCAGTGGTTATGCAGCCTTTTCCTTTTCCTTCTCCCATCCTGCTGTGTGGAGCACGGATGTCTCTGTTTTAGGCCGCAGGACTGAGGCCAGCACGAGGGAAGGAGCGCAAAGACAGGAGCAGCACTGCTCATGGGCCTTGTATATCTTGCTTCGGGGTTGTGTTACTTGGTTCAGCCCACATGGGGGCGATGTTGGATTTGCAGCTAACACAGTAGAGCTGCTGATCAGAGTCCAGGGTGCTGAGGGTGTGGCTTAGGGAAGGGCACCTGCGCAGGATGACTGAGGCCTGGGGTCAGCCTTCAGCACAGCGATAGGACAGGGAGTACAAAGCCCAGAGAAAGGCAATCCATATTTCATGGAGGCCAAATGTGAAGCTCTGGGTTCAAATTCTGACCTGTTATTTTTTGACCATGCTGCAAATCTCAACACGTGTAAGCCTTGGTTGGTGGAATCGGTTTACAGACATCAGTCCCAAATAGCGATTGCAAAGTTCTGGTCAATGCCCTCCAGGTGGAAAACCAATTCACAGTTTCAGGAGAGTGTCTCTTGGCTCAGTGCCCATGAACAAGACTCTTGGTTCCTTGTTTCTTTCCAGGTTGAATGGAAAGATCTTTCTCAGATCTTTCTCACTCAGCCCAGCTCTTCAGCACTGCTTTCAGCTGTATAATAAGAACTTTTTCACTACTGTAGCTCTCAGATTTCAGCAAAATATGTAACTTTTGCAGCACTCAAATTCTGTGGACATCCTCCTGCTGATACCCAAGGGTTCATCCAGCTGTGGACCCTCCAGCTGTGAAGCTCAGGGATTCAGTGACCCATCATTGGGGCAAACCCCTATTTAGCCATGAAAGACTTTAATCCCAGGACCCTGAGGCTGAGGCAGGAGGATAGCATATTTGAACCCACCCTGGGAAACTTAATGTCTGAGCAAGACTCTCTCTCAGAACAAACAAACAAACAAATAAAATGTAAAAGGTCAAGTCATATAGCTCAGTGTGGAGGCCCTGGTTTGAATCCCCAGTATCAAGAAAATATAAAAAAGGTGAAAGATGGCCAAAGTTGTTTGACACACAACCCCAGCAAGTGCATTGTAGTGGATTTGGGTTCTATTCCACTGATTACATACCAACCTATTTAAGTTCTCTGGGGCTCAATTTACCTTAACTGTACAGTAAGTATAATAAAGTCAGAACTTTGCAACTACATTAAACAAGGAGATAACATGCCTGGCACCTGCTAGAGACTCAGAGAATGTTAATTTCATAGATAGACAGACAGACAGACAGATAGAGATAGTGCTTGCCTTCTGGGGATTTCAGTTTTGTTTGCTGAACCAAAGTCCCCTGGCCTGAGATTATGAGCTGATCATTCTAAGTCACAAATCGCTGCAGAGGAAACATTCACCGGAGTTGGGAGAGGAAGCTTGACCGTCTCACTAGTTGGCCCGTGGAAGTTCATGTTCCTCTCTCTAAGTCCTAATTTCTTCTGTAAAACACAGCACTATAATCTCGACCTTGCCGAGTCCTTGAGATGTTCCATTTTCATTTTTCTGTTTTAAAAAATAAGTGGCTGAAGCTGGCTGTTGCACCTGCCACTTTAGGGACCAGCCAGGAATCGACTGGGAGCTTGAGGGGAGAAGATGGTGAGGAGCCAGGGAGCTGCGCCCGCCCGCTCCCAGCTGCTCAAGATCTGACCGGAAGGGGAAGTCCGGGCCCCTGCTGTCTAGACCACTGACAGTAGTTTCCGGGCCTTGATAGCTCAAGAGAACATGCTAAAACTGCTCGGCTGGACCCATCTTGCTAAAAATGAGGCTCCCGGTCCTCCCGGTACACCTTCCAAAGCATAAGCCCTGGGGTGGTTGTGAGAGAATAAGCACGTTACTGCAGGGATTCCAATGCAAACTGAGGTTGGAAGACAATGGTTGGTCCTTAGGTTTGCCAGTGCTGGGAACATGGCAAACCCTGAACTGTGCTTACAGGAGCCCGGTGAGCAGCCTGTCCCCGCCGTTCCACATCAGCGTCTTCGCCTCGGAGTCTTGGGGACAAGCTTGCAACTTCTAGAAATGGCCAGGAGGGGGCATCGAGCACTCACGAATTTTTTTTCCTGCCTTCCCTCCCTCTGGTACTAGTAAATCCTTATTCATTTTTCTTTTAAAAGTGGAAAGCGGGAAAAAAAAAAAAAAAGAAAGAAAAAAAATGAATCTTAAGACTATTTTCCTTAGAAAAACTAGAAAAAATCAAATGTTCTAAGACAAAATGAAATTTCTTGTCTCTTTAGTCGAATCAGGCAATATCTCTCCTTACCAAGGTTTTTATTGTATATGGTGACTTCAGACAGAAGGGCCCACGTTCTAAAGAAGGCTAGCTTCATTAATTTCGTCCTTTATTTAGTGGAAGGAGAACGGCCCCTGAGTTTACTCTATGGAAAAATATAGCATTGTTCTCTCGATGTGAGCCTCGGAGACGGTATTGACACTGACAGACTGTGGAGGTCTGAACATGTATCTGTCTTTTCCAGGCCTGGCATAATTTTTTAAAAAGAATTTATTTTTTGATAGCTTGTTTCTAGCATACAAAAATACATGTTGCTGTTGAAAAATTATAAGGCACAGCTATGCAAAAAGAAGAGAATAAAACTCTCACCATACCAAGACAACCCCTATAAATACCTGAGTGTAGCCAGATTTCACACGTGCATACACACTCACACACACTTTATTCTATGTATGTATGATCACACTGCGTACATTGTTTTCTTGCCCGCTTTCTCAGAAAATAACATGCTACCAACATATCCATGCCAAGGGATGGGCTTCAACATTCCAATGGCTTCAAAGCATTTTCTCATGTAGATATCCCATTGCATTTACAGCCAAGCCTGCCAAAAACTGCGAGCAATGTCTAGGAATGCAAAATATCTAGGAATATCTAGCAGTATCTAAGGATGCATAAGTACTTCTGTGATGGGCATTCTCTGATATAGGTCCGAGTACACATCCTTAGTTATATTTGGTCTGTTCTATTTTCATAGGCATTTGCAGCGGTCCAGAAGTATGCCCAGGTGGGAGTGTCCCGCTTTGCTAAGTATTTCTGGCAGGGAATAGAAGCATGTGTTTTGGGGCAGGCATGGGCAGCTCTATCTCAATCAACTTTGGGAGGGTTTTGATTTGTTTTCTCTTTCTTGCTGGTGTTTCTAGAATGTTGTTAATGAAATGCAGCACCCGCCTGCCAGTTTCTCTCTGCCTTCACCAAGGATGGGAGCGAGGTGCAGGGGAAAGGGTACAGGAGGTACGGCTAGAGGGTTCGGTTTCACCCACCTGGGTTCCAAGTCACCAGCCAAAGCCTCAGATGGGCGATTTTGTTCTGAGGCAGCATGGCCCTTGGAAATTTCTACAGTGCCCTATGGGACTCAGTGGGTTGTGGGAAAGGCTGAGAGAGGGGAAGTATGTGGTGTATTTGAGACCAAAACATCTGCCTTGAGAGAACATATTTTGTTAGCTTGACTGGGAAGTTTAACAGGAATGTTTTCTGGAGGAGGGGCTAGAGCTGGGTGCCTGTCTTTCCCTGTTTCAGTGCATATTTTGTGATCTAGCTTTTGCCCCCATTCCCCTCCAACACATGCTGAGCGCTATGCTAGGTAAGGGACCAAAAGTGCCTGTTGCTTACGTAACTGCCCCTGATTCTGACACTTCTTTTGGACTGCCGCTCTGCTCGTGACTCATTCTGGTCATCGCAGCTAGCTGCCAGCTTTCTAGTAAGTTCTGTGGGATTTTCCCTGGAATAACAACCCCTGTCCCAAATCAACAGTGTGTACTTTCACTCTCACTTTAACCAGTTCCTATGAAGTGCCTCAGGCCAGGAAACTGGTTCCGAAGAAAGAATCAAGAGAAACATAAAAGGCAGTTTCCGAATCATTCTCTTGACTCATATTTTTGGGAAGCCTATGATAATGAGTTAAAAAGTAGTCATAATCCTGGCCCTTCGGCGGCCTTACAACCACTTCACAGATGAACAAACTCAGGCTCAGAGACAGGAGTGAAGCTCAGAGCTCCACCCAAAGCTGCACCACTGGTAAGTGGAAAGCCAGGATCCCCACCAGCTTCCAGCTTCCAGAGCGTGTGAGTCACAGGCCAGTTGTACCCTGGGAGCAACTGGAGGGAGAGACCGCAAGTAACAACATCCTGTTGAACAGGCTGGTAGTTTTACCAAAAAAAACAGTCATCAAGAGGTAGGGTCCATTTGCCTTCTACTTGAATTTAGGCTGCCACAAATGACCCCCTTGTAATGAACAACACAGAGTGCATTGGAAGTGTGGCGTGAGACCTCAGCAGGCAGGTCAGAGACGCCTGCAGGGTCTGCCTTGGTCTCCTAGGACACTTGCTTTCTGCCTTTCTTGGGCGCTTCCTCTGTATTCCTGGTCCCCATTCATGATGGGCACAGCCCAAGTCAACAGGCCTGGTCTTCTGACCGTCCACACCCGGCTCCCAGCCTCCTGACTGAAGGAGCCCCTCTGAGGCTAGCTGCCAGCTTTCTAGTAAGTTCTGTGGGATTTTCCCTGAAATAATAACCCATGTCCCAAGCCAGCAGTGCATGCTGAGGTCCAGACGTCAGAGTCTGCAGCAACAGTCACTGTCTCCACTCACTGTGACCAAAGTCCTGAACTGTAGAACCCACCAGCACACCAGGGGTTGTTGTTTTTCTGCCACCCATATACAAAAGAAAACAGGAAAGAATGGGCAAACCGCGGGGTAGACCCCTGCCGGCATTCCCACGGTGTGGAGGAGAGGAGGCCTGGACTCACCAGTGGCACTATTGACGCCCGGCCATGACCTAGGAGAGAAAAGAGAGATAAAGTCAGTGTCAGGCGCCGAGGGTAGCAGCCTCCCGCGCAGGGCTGGGCGATCATCGAAGGCCATGGACACATCAGCCTATGACAGCTTATGCTTATATTACTATAGCCTGGAAAGAAGATGTTATCAAAACAGAAAAAATTGTATGGAAGGAAAAATCGTCACTGCATTTTAATGATTCTTACAAACACACGGCTGTATGAAGATACATGCGTGCATTTAAACATACACAGTATGTGTATACAACATGATAAAGGAATGACTTGGCTCCCGATATAAACACGCTCATTTAAAAGCATGAAGTGTGTTGGCTGTGTGCAGGATTCATGTTCTTGTAAGCATTGACTCATAAATAACACTGAACTGCTTATCTATGCTCACATTTTTATTATTTATCTATTTACTTTTTTGTCTTTTTGAGACAGGGTCTCACTATGCAGTTCAGGCTGGCCTTGAGCTCACTTTGTAGCCCAGTCTGGTCTCGAACTCACAAGGATCCTCCTGCCTCAGCCTCCTGAGTGCTGGGATTACAGGCGTGAGCCACCACTCCTAGTATATGCTCACATTTTTAATGTCATCTCAGCATTTTCATGTGTACACTGAAAGTGTAGTGCAGCGGAGGGGTCCAGTGGTGTGGAGATCTGGGCCCCTGGTTCCCTATTTTTAGTTGCTTCCTGGTTGGGTTGTGTCCATTCATTTTAATTTATAATCTTATCCATACAGTGTGAAGTCACCGCTTTTAAATCCATAGATCGACATTGTTCTGTCCGCTTAGTCCTTATTTTACCCATTTCATTTCCTGATGACTAGTGAGACTGCATTACTATTACGATTATCTCGAAATTGCTTGGGGCCATTCACATTTCCCCTGTATAAGTCTTCATCCACTTTCCAGCCACAAATCCGCATAGCCACAGCCTCCTCCCTTAGACAGTGCGCTCTTGGGAGCTGCTTTTCCCTAGGTTTCAGGCACTGGTCTGAAAGCCCCCAGGGAAGTGGAAAGCTCCCCAGGATGCGGCTTCCGTGAGCCGGCTTGTTTGTGCCTTTAATAACCCCTGGTCCTTGCAGCGCACCTTCCCTCCGAGGCTCTCCTAGTGCGTCACAGGAGCAATTAATTGAACATCGCAACACACAGCAGGTGTAAATATTTACCAGGTCGACTTGGTGGCTGGGACACCGGGCAGACAATAGTTAAGCAGTGAGGTGTGCTTAAGCAGGACCCCGGTCCCCTAGTTTAACTTTCGGTCAACCCTGTTGGTTTCTCTGCACCAACCTAATTCTCCAAATGTCCTTGTGGGGTAGCTGTTACTGTCTCAAGTTTACAGACCAGGAAATGGCACTTCAAAGCTGAACATGCCTGACCCAGGCACTGAGAAGAGCAGGGCCTTACCACCAGCGCATCTGCTCCTCCCAGCCTTGTTGTCCCCCTGGCCTATGCCTGTAGGAAGTAGCAAGGCGTGCTCTGCAGGCGCCGTGCAATGGTGGCCCGAGTGCCCTTGTGGTTGGCAGTTGGTGCCCTTTCAGGCTGCCTGAGATTCTGAAGAAATTAACAGTAAATCAACTGACAAGGAGCAAATCATTTATCTGGGGCCGCAAGCTCTCTCTTGACACCTTAAACAGATGGCCTCTTCCCTGACATCCTGGTCTTTGATTAAGGCCTCAGAAGGCTCCAGACTTGCAGCTGATGACATGTGAGATGGAAATGGTACGTGTCTGGGACTCTGTACAGTGAGCTCGCTGCATGTGTGCAAAGCCATCCCTATGACAGAAGGTGGCGATCCCTACATGGGCAGCCCGGGAGTCTGAGCCCAGGGATTCTGAATACGAGGCACAGTCTTCCAGACATCTGAGAAAGAACTTTGGCCTTTGTACTGACCTTCTGACACTGGCCTTATGGATTTCAGAATCAGAGGCACATTGGCCATAAGGTGGTCTAACTCATTCGTTTTACACAAGGGAGAAGTGGGGCACTGCTAGAGGAATACTTCATTCTCAGACTCCTGGAGGCCAAGCTGGGGTCCTTCGACACCGCAGAAGAGTGGAACCAAAGGGAGAGGAAAAGAGCCTGTACTTTTCAGCAGATGTCTGTGCAGTGACCCAGGCTCTACTGTATCTGATTCTTTTTAAATGAGGACAATTTGACCCATTTACATTTATTTTCACAATTTCTCTTCTCCTTCTGAATTCAATAATTTTCACAAAACTGTTTTCGACTTACAAAACATTGTACATAATTAACGTACACAATGTGATGAGTTTAGAGATAAGTATATACCCAGGAATGGATAAATACTAGCTAGCACTAACTAAAATAGAAGAGGGGCAGAAAAGCTGAAGCCAAGGGCTAAGGGGACGAGGCAGGAAAGAGTCAAAGCATTCAAACCGGTCTCAAAGATCCACAGGCCAGCAGAATGCCTAAAGTTAAAAATATTGTGTTGTCTAATTCAAATGTTGCTAAAAGGACAGATCTCATGTTAACTGTTCGTATCTCAACACAAGTAGGTGGGGGAGAAGAAGGTTTTGGAGATGGTGCACAGCCTTGCGGTGCAGGCATCTTGAGCTCCACTTTGCAGACAGAAGGAAAACGTCGCAGAGTCGAGTCACTCGCCCATGGTAGCACAGTGGGCAACTGGCGGGGATGAGTTTTGTCTGCATCCGAGTCCCTTGTTATGCATAAGCTGATCACAGCGACAGCAGAGCTGCCCGTGTGTGGGAGCCTCCTCTCAAATGCCCAGGCTGCCTGAAAGTGGCTTATGTGATGTATTCTGCCTCTCGGAGGGGCCCAAAGTGACGGTACTCTTTGGCGTGTCAGATCCTCCGGGATTACGCACCCCAGGGGCTCTCCGTGCGTCAGTGCAAGCCAAGTGAATTAGCAGAGGAAGCATCAGCAAAACAGGGAGCGGGTTGTTATTCCAGCTGAGCCTGCTGCTGTGAGCCAGAGAGCCGGAGAAAGGGAAGGGGAGGGAGAAGAGGAAGGCTGGCTCTGGCCCCTGGGCCTGGGCTCCACGGTTTTGTCTGGCTGGAGCGTGGACATCGTCTTGACACCAGCCTCCGACAGGCTGTCTGGGAAGTTTCCTGCGTTAATGCTCTTTTCAGCCTGACAGCCCCGGGTGATGAATGAAAGATGCTGCTAGCAAACTTCGTGAAGATTTGATGTGCTCTAGCTGTGCTCCAGCAAGGCCTGGGTGTCAGCAAGCTGCTCTTGCTGGGGAGTTACAAGATGCACCCTGGCTCCCTTTTGTCAACAGCGTCAGCAACACAGCCTCGTGCGAGCAGGCCACAGCTGGATGGCGTTCTAGGTTGGCATCCCCGTTCCCCTCCACATCTGGGCTGGAGGGAAACAGCCCCCCTGCGCTGTGCATTTCCGGTGTGGACAGACAGGTGTCAACATCATGGTGGGGAAGTACACCAAGTGGCAATGAACTAGGCTGGCCCACTAGGGGCTGTAGTTTTCAATATTTAAGGCTCATGACACATACAGATTTTTAATTCTGAATTATTTTAAATTTTTTAATACTCTTAAATTATTTAATACACTTAATGATTTTTAATTTTTAAAGGATACTAATGCAAACTCACCCCCCAGCCCACCGCTCCTGGGCAGAACTGGTTCCTATAATGTAGGCTGTGTGTGCTTGTGCCCCACTTATTCACAGCGGCAAAGCCTGAATGGTGTGTTATTCTGGTCCCCTAGAGCCGGGCCTGGACCGTCTCCAGGGCCAGACTGCTAGCATGGAGACCAATAACCCACAGTGCCCAAGAGTGCAGTGTGCGTGGTCCCCTCTGGGCCTCTCTAGGCGCCGAGGACAAGTCCAGAATTCGGCGGCAAACCCTCGGGAAATAATCTGGGTGACTTCACACTGCCAGCCTCTCCCTTTCCCAACCCTCCAGGATTAACCGGCTGAGCTCCGAGGCTCCTTCCCAGCTCTGACCCTGAAATTAAAAGGCTATCGGAGAATAAAATTTCCTACTTGTGGAAAGACAATTGTTACTTTTCTGGGAGTTACTCAGCTCATTTTAGATGCAGAGAGAAACGAAGAAGGATGCAAGATTTCTAAGTTTAGTCCTCTTTGCTTTCTCCTTGAAGGTCTGTTGCTTCCTTGGGAACTGAGCACACGCCTCAGCACGGTTCTTTGTGGACAGCACCTTTATCCCCATTTTGGGGCTTTCATAGAATTCTAATGCCTAACAGGACATTGAATAATATCAATTAATCCTCTCATTTTGCCTGCAGTTAGTCCCCTGTGGAGTCCATGGGGCCCGTCACACCCAGCCTGTCCGTCTACAGAGCTCACTGTGTGGCTCTTCCTCGCTGAAGGAGCATGCGTGCATCCGGGAGCTGTGGAGTGAGGCGCGGACATGCGCAGTGGCGCAGAGCTAGGGCACGTGAGAGCACCCAAAGGGCTAAGTTGGGCCAGGGCTGTCCCGGGGTCAGTGTGATGCTTTGCAAAGCAAAGGGAATAAAGGGTACTCAGAGTTGCATCTAGAGGGGCGATGTGGGAGCACATTGGGTTGATTGGAGAGGGGACAACAGGCTCTGTAATAGGCCAGGGAAGAGGGCATGGTGACCAGACATGGAGTATTTTCCCTCCTTCCCCCCTCCGCTCTTCACCTGGGCCTGTCCCTGGCATCTTTCTGACCCATCCACAGTCATGCCACTAGAACAAAGTGCGATTGAATCATAAGCCTTCCACACTGGGCTCTTATCTCTAAAAGGGAGACAAGAACTTACATGGCGCCTGGGTGTGGGCCATATGCACCGGGGCCAGGGAAGCCTGTTAGGAGCCGCCCATGAGTGAGATGGACTGGAGACATGAAGGCCAAGTCCGGGCCTGACCTGGTAAGACCCACAGAGTGTCCAGCATGTAGCGTGTGTGTGCGTGTGTGTACACATACACGCACACACACACACCTTGCCATTCCCCCAGAAGAGGCTCCATGATTTCATTACAGGTAGGAGATTGGAGAGTGTCTCCCAACCCCACGTTGCTCTGAAGCAGATGACTGTCACTCTGAGGTAGAATAGGGACAAGGTTCATGTGTAATAGGTGAACAAGTGAGTTCATCTTTCCTGAAGGCATTCCTGATCAGCTTTAAGAATCTTCCTTTTTTTAGTTGATGCATAACCCTTGTGCACACATGTGGGTATTCTGTTGCATGGGTCTGTTGTAGAATGTCCAAGAACCCTTCTCTTACCTATTTTATTTTTATGAAAATTATTTAGGGCATGCAAACATCTGCAGGACCCTTGGGGATAGCACTAAGTTGCTGGGGCCATGTAGAGTTGGCATAGCTTGCACTCTGAGACCCTCTGGCCTGCATGGGGCCCAGCCCACACGGGCTCCTCCAGAACCGGCCCTGCCAGGCCCTTTCTCCCCTGAGCTCTCATGGAGCATCTTGCTCTAATGATGTGCTTAGTCAGGCTAGGAAGCTGCGTATGATTAATGAATTTATAATTTGTTGCATACTGATAAAGTTTCCATCTCTTTCTTCGAAGACAGACAGCATGTCTTTGTGAGCTAGTGTCTTTTCCAGATATGTTATCGATGTCCCTGACAAATCTTAAAAAGTGGAAACAAAATTGGCCATTTTGGTGGGTTCTAGGGCAGACAAGTGAGCAAGCAGGATGATTTGCTTTGCCTCGGAAATTCCTCCAAGGTAGGCAGTCACACCTGTGTCCCAAATCCCCTCCACCTCTCTCTCTGATCTTCCTACTTGGTCTCTGGTGTCTGTCTTCTCTTCCCTCTGGCCTCATCCCTTGGTAAAGTACCTTCTGTCATCTGTGTGAGGCGCTGGCATGTGCCAGGGCCTGCCTGCGGTTCTGCGTACAGCACCAGCCACCGGCATCCTGCAGCATCACTGTAGAGCCCTCACGAGCCCTGGCTATGCCTCTTCTTCCTCTCCTCCCTTCAGGAAATGTCACTGGGCATCTACTAGGTAGGTACTCTTTAGGGACACCCAGAGGACAGCTGCCAGACACCCCACTGGGTTCCTGTATCCTTGATGTAGCTCTCAGCTGGTGGGATCTCCCAGCAGAACACTTTGCCTTCTGCTTAGTGAAGTGGGCCAGAGCCAGAAGTGGCTCTGAGGGGCGTTTCCGCTTTGTGAAGTCGCAGCAGGCCAGGGAAAGCCTAAGTCAGGGAGGGCAGAGTCTGGCTCCCTTGTGTGCCTGGGTGCAGGGGCCAGCAGAGGTCGCCCTCGTGCACGAATAGAAGCGCTCTCCTCTCAGGGGCGAGCCAGGCCGTAGGGGGGCAGGGGCGGGACCTCAGAGCCTACAGCCATGTGCATGCGTTGTGCCTGCAGGAGTGGGTAGTGGCTGCTCTGTAGCAGCTCTTCCCTTGGAAAACTCAATTCAGACATATACGGATTCTCTCAGCGTCGGCTCCCTGTGCCCGTCCCAGAGTTCAAGACCTGCAAGCTGCTATAAGAAATGGTGTGGTGTGTGCAAATCACCTGCAACCCCTCCTGTAGACTTTGATACCTAGCTCACGGTAAACACTACACAAACGATTGTTAGACTGCATTGACTAGAGGATGAGGACCGGGACAGTGTCTGCACATGCTTAGTGTCAGATCCCGGATACCGGATGTGGAAATGACCTGTTTTTCTTGGAAAGCCTCCTGGGCCGTATCTTCTGAGTGGGCTCTTGCGCTCAGCTAGCGCTTTGCTTTGTGTATCACACGCATCTGAGCCCATGACACCATGTGACACTGCCGAAGGGGCAATGGTGGGGAGCGCTGGCATGGTTGTCCATATCAGTGTTAATAATTGTGCTTGATGTCTGCTATACCACAACCAGCTGGGGAACCACAGGAAACTTTCTTTACCCTCTCTAGGCTGCCTTTTCTCTCTGCTGTGGAAGGGAGACTCATAAGAGTAATTGTTAGGACCCAGCAAGGGCTACTTACTAAGGTTTTAAGTTAGCAGCTAGCACCTAGGAGGCATTCAGTGACTGTCAGCCTGTGGTATTTATTGGGAACCTACCGTGATCCAAGCACCCCAAACACAGGCACTGCTGTGGGCTTGGGCATTCTGTGATAAACCAGACCCTGCTTTTCCAAATCCCATTTCTAAAGTACACAAGGTGCTGGGCTGGACGCAGCTATCCCAGGCTGCAGGGCTGGCAAGCACGACAGCTGAGGTTTCATTCCAGGACTATGTGTTGCCCTCTACTGTGACACTGACTGCTCCCCGACGCCATCCCCAGCGCTGGTAACTGTTATTTCCATGGGGAATGAATATTGTCAGTGTAATAGTTATTAAGGTAAGGTAGCCCACATATGTAGTTTTCAGATATTTTGACTTGATTTATATATCTCAAGTGCTAATTTATATTCATATAATACTTTCATTATAAAATAAGCAATGGTGCAGAGATTTGTATGTATATGCAATTTAAAAAAATTGGGGATTTGTAAATGGTTTGGAACAGGTTGCAGAAACATGGTCTGTTGCTCTCTTTAATATATCCTAAGCATGCTATGACACATCCTGAAATAATTTGCTGTGGAGAAGAAACATTGCTCTTCTCTGTCTTTTTCTCTTCCCAGTGTAACTGTAAATATTACTTGGATGGGCTTAATTGCTGCAACCCTCTTCATTCGAAGGAAGGCTTCTAACCCTTCTATTTCTCATCTTTTAGAAAAATGGACTTGAATGCATTATTCAAATGTATTTAATGTAAACATGAAAGAAGTCTAAGAATAGCCACACATTTTCCTTTGCTTAAAGTGGCTTTGAAAAATAATGTGAGTGTTCTGTCTTCACGCAGTTTAGGAAAAATAATGTCAGTATTCTGCCTTCACCCTGCTTAGGAAAATATTTATTCTAGCGTGTCTGTCCCAGGGTCCCAAGACTGCTCCCAGTGCCCGGACATAGTCGGTCCTGAGGGTGCTTGGTAGACTGACTTGTGTTAAACTAACTTGGGATGTGAGGGTTGGCGACAGGGAAGGAGCCCTCAGGCATCACTGGGCCGAAAGACCACCCCGGGCAGGCTCAGAGGGAGTCCTGGCTGGGTGTGGGGAACCCCAGCTTTCTACATTAGGTTGTTGCCCAGTGTAGCTTTGCTGGCCAGTGAAGAGCAGGATCTGACTTTGGGTCTGGTTCCTTGTCAGTGATTTCATCAAGTTAGCCCACAGTACTGAGCTTCTGGCTTGTCTGTGAGCTGCTGGAGGGTAGGGCTTTTTTTTTGTCTCAGAATTTTCAGTGTGGTATGAAAGTCTTGATGTCCTAGCTGCTCAGTAAATTATTTTCTCACTGGAGAAATAAGGACAATAACAGCAGGCCCAGTCAGCTCTCTCCTGTCTGCAGGCTGTGAAACCCTGAAGTGGACTTGTGGCCTGATCTGTGATCCGTAATCCTTATCATTCACTAGCAGGGGACAAGTGCCTTTCCGCAGTGGCTCTCTGGCTGTTTACAGAGATGCGGGGAGACATAAACTGCCCAGCCTGGGAAACTGTGGGAGCTTCTCAGCTGTGGTCTGTATCGTATACAGATACAGGCTGTCCAGCGCATGTGAAGTTCCTCCTGCACCTTGGTCTCTGAGTCAACCTGAACATCATGACCAGTGGTGTAATTTCCTCCTAAAAATGCTGTGTGTGTGTGTGTGTGTGTGTGTGTGTGTTGGTCAGTCTATTTGCCACAAGATTAAATTTTTCACTCCTCTATTAATAAACAAGTAAATATTCTGACCTCATTTTTGGCAGAGTGAAGTTCTGGAATTTCAAATCACTGGATCCTTCTTTTGTTGTCCTTTTATTGCCCCTGGAAGGAAAGAAAATAGATTATAACTGGGAAATAGCAAGGAGCTGGGGGAAAAATTAATTAGGTGCACTCATTCATAGAAACAACCACCCCGTCAGATTTAAGTAATTAATGCCTTGCACACAGTTCTGAATCTCTCCTTGCATTTCCACTGGATGCAAAAAAAATTTTTTTTGTATTAAAAGCAGTGAAATTAATGGACACTTTTTAAAATGTAGGAGCCGTATTTTACAGGGGCAGCAGTGTGGGGTGGAGTTAACACCCCAGTCAAGAGGAGGTCTTGGCCACTGCTGCCTCCTCACAGTGACCCTGGTGTCTTCCAAAAGTTCCAGGAGTCCCTGTCTCCTCTGTCGAATGAAGCCCATCTTAGTTCTGCCGCGTGGGTGATGGAAGGCTGCTGAGGTATTGAAGGCACCGCGACTGAGAACCAGGCACGTTGCTGAATGTTTTCCTCTGTCAGCTGAATTTGATAAAACCGCGTCAGTGCGTTCTTCTTAGCAAGAGCAGCTCTGAGCTAAGCAAGATGGACTGAGCTCCTGTGGAACGTAGGCACTTTGCTAAGTCGGTTTCCATGAAGAGATTGAACTACTTTAAATTGAACTAATTTGTTAAAATTCATTGAGCACATTCACTACCATAAACCATCACTGTTATGCATCCCTAGTTCATTTAATGAGCGCAGTTGGACACCCGCTCCCTCTCAGGCATCGCGAGAGCTTTTCCAATGCTTGCGGGTGTTTCCAGACAGCGAGCCCATTGGCAGGCATAGGACACTGTTTCTATGGTGTCTCTCCTCTGCTGTCCTCCTGGGCGGTTCTTACCCTTGTGGATCCTTGGAACCCTCTGCCCCCTCCCACAGGGCTCTGTCCCTTACTGTCCCCTCCGCGCACCCTTTTCCTGGTCAACTGTAACTCATTTTTATATATATAAAAAACAGTTCTTACTTGCTTTATTTTCTAGATGAACACAAATATAATCATAAAACCAAGTAAATAATAATGAAACTAAAGCAAGCCCACCACATAACAGAAAACTGTGAAGTAGTAGACCAGAAACTGAGAAAGTAAAAAGAAAATAATGATACTTTTAGTAAATTATCATAAAACACTTTCTCCTGAGAAAATCTTTATGCTTTACTCATGGATCATTACATGCAGTGTGATGAACTTTTTGAGGGACAACTAACCTTTGTAAACTTGTCTATTTTCCATTTTAAAGTTTTCAATTTTTTAAATCCTCTCATTGGATGCAATAACAATTTGTTCACCAGAGTAAAAAGGACTCCTTTTTAATTTTAAAGAGAAAAACGACTGAAAAAATAACAATGAAACAAAATTTTAAAACAGGCAAGTAGGGCCGTTACAATAATAAATACACTGCTTATTGCTGTCTTCATACTACTTATTCAGAGGACAAGATATAGGCATGGAATCTTGTCTAAACAATTGAAAGCATTGAAACCTTTCCTTTCAGTGAACTGAGAGAAATTAGCTGTGTAACTATCTTTACCTTGTGTATACATATATGTTTTTCTTTTTCCCTTTCTTCCTTTCCCCTTTCTCCCACAGGCAAAGGTCTTTCAGGTACTGGAAATCAAACTCACGACCTTGCTCTTGCCAGGCAAGCACTGTGCCGCTGAGCTAAATTCCCAGCCAGGCAAAGGTCTTATATCTAGAACATATAAAGACTTGAAAAAAAATCAGACTCCCCAAATTGAAAGACCCAATCTAAAAAGGGGCATCAGGGATGAATGTCACCTGTAACTCATGCTGTGCACCTCTTTCTGCTGCAGTGCTACTTCCTCAAGGAAATCCCCGTCCTTTGCAGCACTTGGCTGAGTTTTCCTGTTACTTCTGCTCTGACTTATAGCTCCCATGCACGATGGATCAACAAGACCTTTGAACTTCCAGCTCTGTGAGGGCACAGGTTTGCCGATTTGCCTCTCTGGGACCTGGGTCCATGCCTGGTCCACGGTGGGCCTCTGTGGAGATGCTGGAATGCACGCATGACTCCAGGACTGCAAGCCCAGCCTCATGGCGACTTGAGGCTCTCTCTTCACCGGGCAATGGTGTGTAGCCCATAGAATATGATGTGATAAATAAAACTCCCAGCGGGTTGTCACCTATGCACATTGATCCTTTAGAAAATGAGGGCATTGTCTAATGGTGTCATTATTACTCCTACCATTTTTCCATTATTCCTTTTTGATTTTATGATTGTATTATTTTCTATGTTTGTTCATTGTCCTTTTTCAACCAGAGTCAAACTTGTTTCATAAATCTACACCTGCACCTTGACTTTTCTTCTAAGTTCTGGGCATAAAGATCCCACTCTTTTCTATGTGTTTTCCTGCTGTGGTCCTCCAGCAGGTCAGACCATTTCCTAGGGAGCAGTTCCAGTGCTCACCATGTGTTTTCCACATCAGCCAGACACTAAGCGTGACCCTCCTCTCCCCACTCCCCTTCCCTTCCCTTCCCTCCCCTCCTTTTCCTTCCCCTTCCCTTCCCTCCCTTTTCCTTTCCCTCTGTCATTGCCATCTTGCTAATTTGTTACTGGCTCTCAATGCCAGGACCCCAGCTGACGCCCAGTGCCATCCCGTCCTAGTAAGGTCCTCTTAGTCTTCCTTCTCCTTGCAGTGTCTTAGCCCCTGCTTCCTGGCCTTAACCAACCCTCTCCTCATACAACCTTTCTAATTAGCACGGTAACATCAAGTCACCTCCCTGCTCGAAAATCCTCACTAGCTCTCCATTGCTGCAGGAGAAAATCCAAGTTTTAACCACAGTAATTAGCCAAGATGCCTGCTTCAGCAGCCTCCCTGCCACCCCCCTACCGGGGCCTCCAAGGCATACTTTATTTATTTATGTGTTTTCTGATGCTTTCATATCATCGATCAGATCATTCTTTGTGTTTTCTCTGGATCTTGAAAAACATTTTGCGTTCTTCAGAGTCAAGTTCAAGCATGTCTTTCCTATTTGTTCTTCCCTACCTCTTCTTCTGTGAGTCCCTTTAGTACTTTTGCATACTTCTGCGTTGCTCTTGAATGTATTCATTCATTCAACCAGCAAATAACTGTTGGCCCGCTCTGTCCCAGGCGGTGGGCTCAGCAATAGGCAGCAGCCATGGAAGAAGGCAGAAGGCGTCTGCCACAGGAAGCTTTGGGGCATATGGGAAGATGGGCCATGCAGTCTCATCCTGTTGGCCCACATGAGCCTGTGTGTGTCTGAGTTTCCCTCGCATAAGTCCCCCTGGATGAAAGGCAGGCCTTGGGCGTCTTTTCCTCTCCCAGGATACCACGTACCAGCTACCAGCATGCTCTCAGGAATGTTTATACGACGGTGCAGAGAGAGATTGGAAATAAATGAGCTCCCAGCCTGGGTTTGGGTACAATAGTGAGCCAGGCATTTAATTGTGCAGATCCTTCATATCTGATACCAGGGAGGTTCTGGTCTGTCCCTGCACTGAGAAGCAGGCCCTCAGTCTCACCTCACTTGGGATTATGGGCATCATTTCTGTGCTCTGGCAGCCCCTGTGACATTTTAAAAAATGGCTTTGGCCCATCCACTTAGGGGATCGGGAAATATTCTGGGACCTCCTCAATTTCCTCCAGGATACCTCAAGAACCCAGCAGCCCAGCAGCTCCCTCTGACCTTTCTAGTCAGCTTTGGCCTTTCAAACTTTAAGCCAAGAATCGAACTGAAATTCTCTGTCTGTTTCTGGTTCACAGGAAGCCTCAGGAATAGATGGACCGTCATCCTTCCTAGTGCTGTGCTGAGGGTGAGGAAGCAGTGCCTGAGAGCAGGGAGGATGCACAGGTGAGCGGGTTGGGGGCAGCAGGCCCAGGGCTTCAAGTCACATCTGTCCAGGTGTGCCAGTGCGCTGTAGAGAGAGTGGAGTGTGTGACGGCCCCTGGCTGCCAGCTCCAAATGAAGCCAGCTAAGAAACACGGAAGGAAGGGAGGGTGGAAGGAAGGAGGAGAATGGAGCGGAGCTCTTCCTGCATGAGAATTTTCTGAGAAACTAGCAAAGCTGGCAAATAAATGGCCACCTACCTGCATGGCAACCAAAGTGTGGTTGTTTTTGTAATGCTTACAAAGTGCAAAGAGAATTAACAAGTTTCCTCCCTGCTGGGTCTCTCTGCTTTAACTACTTTGTTAGTGTTCAAACTCCAGAGACATTTTTAAAAAACATATAAAACTCCCAACCATCATACAAACAGTTACTAGACTATTCATTATAATAAGTCCAAATACTTTATTTTGCATCAAATTTAGATCTGACCTTGGAAGGAGGTGTACAACACTCCCAAGCTGACTGCTGCATTTGGAGATGACCCACTACGTACTGAAGTCTTCCATGAAGAGAGGCCCCATTGTGCAAGACCTCCAGCCTGGGGGACCAGCTCTCCTTCATGTGGGACGCTCAGCACTGCTCACCCAAAGAGTAAAATAAATCAGCATCTTAATACTGCCAGTCTATTAACTCATAACTGACTGGTCAAACGTTCTTTAGGGAAGCAACACAGGTGAATTCACTGCACAGAGAACTCCGCACATTGCAGGAGAGGTGGAAGAGCTCTAGGCACATGGGCGACCTGAAGCACGAACTGATGAACTGGCCACCTTGCACTGTAGAAATGGAGCCTGTTGCACCCCATGGAGCCTGCTGCACTCCACAGTCCAGCTCCGCTTTCTGACTACTCTCCCTGCACCTGGTGTAAGGCTTTTCGGGCCTCTATGGTTTCCTTGTCTGCTCTTGTACCTTATTTCTCTCTGGTCAGCCAGCAAAGTCCACCTAACTCTCCTCCACATGTTTTCTGGGATTTTCTCTTCCTTGCATTCCCTCTAGAACTGCCCTCTGCAGACCCACGTTCTTTCTGAGGTGGACCTACCAGTTATATGCAGTGCATCCATTTATACCAGCTGCAAATTTGGACCCGTGCATGTAACCCTATTTGGATCTTTGGAGATGTAGTTAAAATCAGGATCTTGAGAGAAGCTCATC